CATATCTGTACAATGCACTACAACACTCATTTGTTCTTTAATTGAAGCATCATGAGATCCATCAACAAGAACCGAGAAAAAGTCATCACCAAGATCACTTACTATGAGTTTCGTTGTTTTAGCCGCAACATCATTAACATATCCTTCTGGATATCCGATGAAGTTAAGTTGAGATTCTCTGGAGTATTCTTGAAAGTAACAACTTCAATACTTGTAGTATGATCGGCAAGAAATTGAAACAACTCTATAAAGTTTCCTTTGTTCTTTGAAGTTTCACATTCATCGTGGCCTCTAAAAGCAAAACCTGGCCTTAGTAGAAACCGAACACACTCAATCGATGCATTCAAACGTATCTTACTTTGTTAGGAATGCTTGGAAAGAAAAACTTCAATGTATTGTTTGTTTTCAACAAATCTTCGCAATTTGCTCGAGCTTTGTTGTGAGCACGATTAGCACTTCCCACATGAATCCTTAACTTATCTTTCCTCGTCCGATTTTTAAATTCTAAGCCAACAAACGAGTCGCCACCTGCTTGTGCTCCTATATTTGGTTTAAAAAGACAGTGACATAAACATATGCAACATCTTAATTTCTCCAAATCACCTGATGTAGGGATTTCTTCTTTTTGTTTTTGATTATTGGGTTTTGACAAACATTGTAGATTTCGAGATTCAGATTTATGGGTTTTAAATCTAATGTTTTGATTTAAGAGAATTTATAATATTCGGGTTCTGATTGAATTTGTTGTTGATGTTGCTCATGATCTTCGTGGATTTATATTTGATTCTATATCTATTTATGAAATCTGGATTGATGTTCATTTTCAGGTTATAGAACATGAATATTAGGGCTTGTTTGTTTTTTGAAAAAAACCACTTAATGCCTCTTAAGTCTGAACCGGTCAGACGTTTTTATTTTCAGACCGTTTGTTTTTTTATATAAATAAGAGTTGAAAAGCTCTTAATTTGCTCTGGAAAAAAAGTGATAACATAATCACTTAAATCCTCTTAATTGCTCCCTCCAGACTCTCCCCTCCATCCTCACCTCCAGATTTAGTCCTCTAAATCTATCTCGCAAGACATTCGATCTCCAAATCAATCACGACCCAGATCGATCCACATATTCTCGTAAAATCATGACCCAGATCGATCCAAATCTATCAGATCCAAAACTTGACTGATTCAGATTTCAGATTTCAGACGTAAAAACAAACAGTCTGACTGATTCAGATTTCAGACTTCAGTACCACCTCTTAAAATTCAGAAGTGAAATTAGACTTCAGACTTCAGAACATCTTAAAAAACAAACGACACCTTAATGTTTGTGTTCATGTGTTGATAGAGTAAATTACATTCTTGGTACTTGTGGTTTTAACAAAAAAAAAACAGAGTAAATTACATTCTTGGTCCTTGTGGTTTCAATAGAAAAATAAAAATTAAATTAAATGTCTAAAATACCCTTTTAAACTAACTAAGTAAGCGAAATAATTTGTACGAAGGTAGAGCCAGGGACCCAATGTGTTATAAGTCGAAAACCACATGGACGTAACCATGTGTATTTCAAACTAGGGACCCAAAGTGTTATAATACATAAACCACAAAGATTATTGATTATTGTGGTCGTCATTTTGTTTCATTTTTTTATCCCTCTGACTAACTCTAGTTAATAAAGTACCTTTCAGTTAACTAAGTTTTTTTTAACTACAGTTAGTTAGAGGGACCAAAACTGAAACAAAATGATAACCAAGGTGACAAAAAAACTGTTATTACTTTAAAATTTGGATTAATGTATTACCAAAAATAGGGGGTGGGGAACGGTTATTGACTGCTTGAGATCGTTGTTCCTAAATTAAACGTACTTATGAACATTCAAACCAGTTTCAACTCAAATCAAATCCTTAGAGGGATAAATATGGGTTTTTAGAACAATTTTAGAAAGGAAAATCAAAATCTTCAAAAAAAGAAATCAAAATCTACGTTTAATTTCAACAGTTTTTTATTTCAGATGTTCAATAAATTTTAATGATATTTTATTTCTCTTATAAACATTTAATTTCAGATATTATCATATATTGATGGGAATAATAACAAATTATTCTCTCTCAAGCAATCATTTCCTACTTTCTCCAATTTGGATAATCTGTTAAAAACACTCTAAATTCTAAATAGTTAGGAGGCGTTTGGGATTGCTTATAAAAAAACTTATTGACTTATTTCGGTTTGACACTTGTAATAAACACTTTTGAGTGTTTGGATAAACAGCTTATACCGGTGCCAAACCGGTAATAAAGAGTTTTGGAAGAAGTTAAACCTTCTGACTTATAATGAGTTGATAAATGTTTTTGTAGAAAAACATAAGTTGTTTTAAATAAGCAATCCCAAACACCCGCTTAATAGCTTATAAAAGACCAATATCAGTCTTGACGATCAGTCCCTATCATCATGCATCCAATGTATTACGATTTAAAAATGTCGTCACAACTAGTCTTTTTAATTACAAATAAAGCTTGCACTTTTGTGGTGTTCAACTGTCATGTCATGCATCGGATATATGCTCTCAAGTTGGGCGATGAGGATCAGGAAAAGCGACCAATCATTTAAAAAAAAAGCTAACCTTTTCAAGTCGAAAAAAATTGAACCGAAAAGCGAACAACAAACTATGCCCACTCAATTTTTTAAATTGTTCTTTCTTAACTCCTATATCTCTCAAATAATATACTCACATATCCTCATCTCGATGCTCAAGCATCTTTCGTGGTTTTTTTTAAGTATATAATATTTATATACAACAAATAAACTCACACACCCTCCTCATTTTTGATGAAATTTGAACCATTGACCTCCTAGGAAGCCAATGATTCACATACCGCTAGGTCAAAGACCCTTTGATCTTTCATGGGTTTTTTTCATTGGTTAATTGCTGTAAAGAGCTAGGCATTTTTTCATATTTTTAATTTAAATGATACTTTTGAAGAATTTTGTAGAAAAAAAACTATTGTACTTTTAAAAATACGTTATTTTTGGATGCTGTTAATTTGATAGTAACATACAAGTAATAGTCATGTAGATATTTATGTAAATATTTAATGCATTTGTACAAATGAAAAATGTACAAACAATTATAATGTTTGTTGTGACAACTCGACCTATATGTATAGAAAATTAAATTTGTAAGCTTTTTACAAGTTTAAAGTTGTGCGCTACTAATAACTTTCGCATTGGTTTTAAGTTGTTTCAGAGGTATTGAGACAATTTTTTGCTTCGAGTTATAATGGTTTACAAATGGTATCAAAGCTGGTCATTGTACCATCGAGATGGGTGGCCAGGTGGGGAGGTGTTTGTAACATCTTAGATGAATCTAACGTCACTGCTTACAAGGAGGATGCTGGGAAGGCCTAACGAAAACGTCAGGAATTTAAGTGAGGGAGTTTGTGACAACCAGACCCACATGGATAGAAAATTAGACGAGTGAACTTCATCATGCCCTAGTTGTTCTCCAAATGAATAGAATTTGGTTGAAAAGGTTATTTGACAGTACGAGCTTGTTTTTCTTGTTTTCAATTTAAACAGTTTTTTATATGTTACAAATCTGATTATTGCAACTAAATCAGCATAACCAGTTTCACAATAATTGAGAAACAACTAAGAAATCGTAAAAAAAGTCTATAGACTAAATGTGTAAATATCGTCTTTACAACATTTTGAAAACAGGAGTTCGAAAATGAAAGAATCTAAGAAGTTGGCCAACCTACCAGATAGCAATATGCCTTGAGTTGATTTAAATGGCGAAACTTCAAACACGATAGCTTAGGACCAATGGGAGTAATTGGCCTTAATTTCCAACACGATAACCCCATCGGGACCAATTCCTTCAAAGATGACGTCTGATTGAGACCACTTGCTTCACGATACGAGATACCTTAGGACTAATTGTGTCTTAAAGGCTAGTTTTTTAACACCTGTAGTAATAATAAGTTAGTGTCCAAACTTGTTTGACCCGATATGGTAAGGTCATAAGAAATATCTAATGATCAAATTCGATAAATGGAAAAGAAAACTCAGATATTCTAGATTCCAGTTCCACGTATATAAACTCGTTGGTGTACATGTCATTTTTTTTTATATAGAGGGGGAGGCCCCTCCTATCAAGAGAAAACACTAAACGCTAAAAGCAACAAATTTACGCGCTCGGGTGGGGGCGAACCACATCCACCAAAAAAGAACCAAGGCTCCCCAAAGGAAAAGAAAGGACGAAAAAAAGGGGAGAGGAGAGAGAGACCGACCACTAGGGAAGGTTCCAATAATATTGTGACATCCGTCACCAAACCAGGTTAGTCAACCGTAACTCGAAACCTAACGTTAGCCCTTTTAGTAAATTTATGTGCTCACATGCTTCCTGAAATATAAGGTGTGAAATTTTAGGAGTTGGGTGTGTTCATTTTATTTTTTCCCCTTAAGTACTCTAGTCATTCTAATAGTAGAGGAAAGCTAAGTGTTTATAATTCCTAAGTTGAATTTCTTTTTCCGAGTACATAATTAGTCTATATAAATGTTTTATGTGCGTTGTATCGGTGACTAAAAGCCTTAAGCAAATGATTTGAGTTAATAATGTTAACTAGTTAGGTTGTTTAAAAAAAAAACTAATATTATCAAAGGAGCTTATCATATAAAAGAAATAAATCAAGTAGTTTTAAATA